TTTTCGCTTTCTATTATTTATTTTGTCTAATAAAACATTGAAGAGAGAGTACATACGTTTCTATCTATTACTTTCTTGTTCAATAGAAAATTGAAGACATTCGTTGAGCAATAAGCAAGTTAAAAGTGAGTCAATTCCGTCGACAGATGGGATCTTCCGAACAGTCCAATTTCCCGATCAAATTATCCGTCTGACACGTGGCCAACTACCGAAAAGCATGAGGGTCACGAAAAAATTGGCTGACCACTTCGGTCCGGAAACAGCAGAGAAAATTGGACGCAATTTGATATCTACGTACTTTTTGTTTCTCACCGACTACTGCGGGGACTATGTGACCTGGCCCACTTTCCTTCACTAAAGCCTGGTTACAGAAACAATACAATTTCACACAACATAATCCATTAAACACATGGTCACTATGTTGTTTTGTACCTCGAATAAGGAACTTAGATTGATTATACCTCGACATACATAATAAGTATGTTTTGAAGACGCGGATCGAAGAAACCAGTTCGATATTGGCGAGATGAAAAATATTTGTCTTTCTTCTGTACAAACATTCTTGCAATAAGCATTATTTGAGAAAAACGGATCATAAAGTTAATTTATTATAAAATATTGTCCATTTAACAGAAATTAGTTATTTAAGTATCTAATTAGTAACGTACATAAATAAAGAATTGTCTAATGTTATATTTATTACTGCTATGTAGTTTCTCGATCGTTTGCGGTATACTATATTTAGTTGAGGCAATTTGTGATAATAAGAATATAATATTAACGGAAGTGCAATGAAATGAGTACTTCGTATTACTTCAAAAGGAGCGCCTATTATTTAGATAGCGTCATTAAGGTAAGGTACCTATTGGATAAATGGCAGGTTATTTAAAAATCGCGTATCACCGCAGGTTTCCATCTATTTAATCTAATCTAACCACAAGATCACAAAACTGAGAATTAAGATACTGGCTTCGGAGAAGTTTTTTTAAGGCTTCCATTATCTCGTGTAATCGAGGCCTTGGGGCCTTCACGAAATAATTCAAAGCAGACCTAATAGGCTCCTTGAGTTTTAGAAACCACGTCTAATGCAACGGAAATTACAATTTGTGCAGTAATTGGATATGAATATTCACGGTTCGACGGACATTGCGATCGTTGCACCGCCAGTTGCACAGCAACTATGTTCATTTTATTGTGCACACCTGCTTTTAGTTATCTAATAGCAATTACTTACAATCAAACTTAATAATTATACTTCAAAGTACTGTTGACTAACCTAAACAGTTTCTAACCTTTCGCAAAGTATATTTTCGTTTTCTGATAAGCGGTGGACTTAAATTTTACGAAAAAGACAGTGTAGGTACCTACGGCAGACACATCAAGTACCAAATACTGTGGCAACTTATAAGGTTACAATAAGGACGATTTGTCTGATGTGTCCATTAAAGCTTCAGCAGCACCAAGTCAGCTTACGACCTTCAAAGCCCTTAATCCTAATAGTTTAATTTTTACTTTATCATCGTCATCATCATCATTTAATTCTGAACCAAAATCCACAGACCGACTTGTTCAAATGAGACATAAAGGGAAGCAGTTATAAATTAATGTGCTTGAGAGATAAAAAAGCTCAATGAAGGTAAGACATGGTGACTAACGGAAACTTTGAGCTTTATTCGGAACGAACGTGACGACATTGGTACTGGTACAGACAGATGCAAAAATGTGTCCACTTTTAGACATTTTAAAGTAACTTTCGACGATATTGTGGTATGAGTAAGGACTTTGAGGATAATAGAAATTCGGCTGGGTGGATGACCTCTAACCAACTCTTGGCTTACATATTTGTGTTGTAACTTTTCAATACAGCCTGTATGACTGACCACATCTAGAGAATCCGCCAACAAGTAGGTACCTATTCGATTCATTTAATTTTCCATGAAACCTATAGGTATTTTCTTTATGTACGTTTTATAACATTTCACGTCTGATAAAGTATTTTTTATAAAGAAACCTATTAGTGGATTTGCATGACATGAAAAATTGGTCTTCCCTACTACTTAATGACCCACGCAAAGCACTTTGCCCAATATCATGGGCCATGGCCCCATGAGGACGCAAACTTAATGGCTAGCGTGGGCCCAGGTCAAGTCCAAGGGCGCATTAGCATTATCAGCAATTCTTTACCTATTCTATGTTTACGTTATTTCCGATATTTGTATGTAGGCGGAGGTTGTTGTTCCATTATTTCCGATGTTTAGATGTAGGTGGTACCTACCTATTGGTTGCTATGACTTATAACAGTTCACATCTGTTTTTATGGTTTAGTTAGAGAGCTAAGATTTTATCTGGAGGTTTGATCAGCGGCGACCTTTAGAGAATAGAACAACAAATGAATGATTTTCTACAACCAAGGCTTTAGCTGACGTACTTACCTATAAAGTCTATTCTTCCGTAGGTTGTAGGACTTGAAGGTAACAAGAGGATATCAGAAACAACCCTAAGCAAATTTTATTTTTTATACTAATTTGACTCTTCGCAAATAGCACAGGTTGTTTTTTGGGTGAGATATGCTACAAAATAACAAAAATATTGACCTATGACCCCAGAACAATCTCAACAATAGCCCCTCAAAATAAACACGACCGACATCAAGGAAGATGGCAAACCACTAAAAATAGATCTAAGGTCCCTTGTCCGAGCCGACGGATCCCCCAGATGTATCACTTCCTATTCGGCTGGGGCCCTCGATATCATTTGTGACCTAGTTCCAACCAAGGGCCTTCCTCATTGCTTCAGTACTACTGGTTATTAGGAAAAGTTCAGGAACTAATTGATTTTACGCTCAAAATTTGCGAATGACTCTTTTTCCCAAGTGCCAGAACCGCAGAAATAGCTAAAATTAACTAAATATAATTAACTATCTACTGCTGGAACTTTAGTTTTAATACGACAGACAGCAAATGCATAAAAACTAGGGCATAAAAATACCCAAAAAGATTGATTCATACTGTTTAATTCATAGAATAGCAATTTGTCATTGTTACTAAGTGCCATGTCAGTAAACCACTTAGCAGATCCAGACATGACTGGAAAAGACAACATACGTCCGAATTCCGATGTTCCTTTGATTCTGGATAATCAAGATTCAAGAAGATAACTACATCTCATCCGACAACTTGAGAAATAACACCCTGGAAATTATTTATGACCAGTATGGGGAACAATGAGGACAAAAGAGCATTTCAGTAGGTACTGTGGCAAATAGCAGGCTAGGTACATTTTTTATTTATTTTGTGCTCACTAATTCGAAACTCTGGGTAGGGCACCGACTAGTTGATGGCACAATTGATGGTCAGACGCAGTGAAAAAGACGGTGGGCGGGAGTATACATCGTGCGGACACAGCATATGACCGCAGTCTGTGGAGGAACACTATAAAATTAAATATTGTCGCGATCCTAATCTGTGCTGTGAGGGACCGAGAGAGGAGAGAATTTGAAACTAAGAACAAACCCTATGCAGGTACAAACTCTCTTGAGTTAAAATTAAGTTTGGTTTTATTGGCTACATACCCTTGTAATAATGCATTTTTTTACAGAATTTAATTTCTTTAACTGTTACATTAATAAATTAAATATTTACTATCTAAGCCTTTTACTTTCTATTACCCTAACAAGTCTGTAACATTTTCTGACTTTACTTCGATTATCAGTTAACATGACTCATTTATTGGAAACTTCCATACTACAATCTTATAAAATAAATTAACTACCTATCTACCTACTAAGGTATTGTTTGATTTGTAATACAAATATTTAATATTACTTGACTACTTAATAGGAGTAGTGTTATTATAATGATGTCATATTATGTCTCCAAATTTTTAATATTACTTGACTACTTAATAGGAGTAGTGTTATTATAATGATGTCATATTATGTCTCCAAATTATATCTCAGTCAATGTTGGACGTATTCGTTTTTTTTAAGTGGATAATTTTTACCTCATAAATAAATAGCTGCTACTTTCTGCTTAAATCCCTGCTTGCAATGGTATCTAAACATTGTCAATAAATAAGACGCCTGGCCCAAGCAACTACACATAGGATGATTTTATAAATGCTACTGACAACACCACTCTTGTAGCGGAGTTTTGGGCTGACACTGTATACGTTTGTTGTCGACACAATAAGAAGAAGAAAAAGAAGATGCAAATTTTTAAGTCTATGGCATTTTCATGGTATGTAAATGATAAATTATTAAAATAACAACAAACCGAATATTACTTTAACTCTGCCACTGCTTCGGGCCATGGCAGTCCTGTTGTGTCAATTTTGACAATGGGACTGACTGACCGATTCACTTCAATATTCACTCATCACCATACAAGCACTTTTAATCTCACACCATTTCACACCAACCTATTTCTTTGGAATGTTGGTAATAGGTATTTATTTAATTCATGTTTTAGAATTTTTAACACAAATAGATCTAACGTGAATTTATAAACATAAACTAACTTAATTTAGTTTAAGGCACTAACTATTCAAATAGCAAATGATGACAAATGGAACCCTACCATAATATTTTGATGGCAGTATAAACTACACAGAAAATAACTAAAAATGCAGGAAAATATTATCTTACCAAAGGCATTCCTGTGCAATCCTACTACTGAAAAATATTTTACTTGGGTAAGGTAGTTAGTTAAAATGTTTCCTTATACTTCTAAACCAGAAATAATATTTTATTGAAATGACCTACTACTTTACAATTAAGTAATAGTACAGAGGCATTTCCTATTCAATTAATACTTTCGATAAATCACTGGAAATAGTTGGTGGATAGTGCACATTTTTTTTTATTAATCGTGCAATAATAAAGTAATAACTGCTAATAAAGAATAGCGAACAACGACGTAAACTTAGAGTGTTAAATTTGTTATTCATAAGTCTATAATTAAATATTTACAAAGGAAAATAAAAATAAAACCGTTACGTACCTTTTAAAAATCACAGTCAAGGCAGGTCAACAGGAACAAAGTAGGTTGATGTACACACAAATTAACATAACAAACGCTCATGCATTGTCTCATCCATTGAATCACTAAGCACTAAGTACAAAATACCCAAAAAAATAGATATCACAATTATTTTATTTACCGGACTATTCAAAACATTAAAAATTATTTTGCAAATAAAATTCACAACACGCAGAGGATTCTTGCGAAAAAGTGACAGATCGACAGTTTTTTTTTTTCAACTACTGACATGAGGAGCCACAGATTAAGCTGAGAAAATTAAAGGATTGACTCTTTTTAACCCTATAAACTAATTAATTTATGCAAAGTAAACTTAATTATGCCCTTTAATTAACTTAAAAAATGCCTATTTAATGATTTTATCTTTTTTGGTCGTCTTATAATGATTTACGGTATACAGCGCCATCTAGTATTATGTTTATGTATTTACAACTCAACGTTGTACAGCGCCATCTAGTATTGTGTACGTACAAGTTTACTTGGTACAGCGCCATCTAGTATTATTGTGTGTATAACTCTACGTTGTACAGCGCCATCTAGTATTGTGTATTTACAACTAAACTTAGAACAGCGCAATCTAGTATTGTGTACGTACAAGTTAACGTGGTACAGCGCCATCTAGTATTGTGTTTTCATAACTTTATATTGTACAGCGCCATCTAGTATTGTGTTCATAAATATTTTCATTTAATTATTTTTCACTAGATGGCTCTGTTCTTAGGTATTTTTAACATGAAGTTTTTCAAAAATACTAACTTGCGCTATCAAATTCCACACCCAATCGGGGAAAAAAAATACCAACTTCGATGAAATTATTATTACTATAATTGAATTAATTAAACTATTACAATATTTCGAGTTGTGCCTGTAGAAATATGCATCTATCTTATTTATGACTTACGGAATAAAAAGTTAATTAAAGCTACTCAAAGTTTTGCAGTTTTTCAAAGTTGCAAAGTTGCCTTGTAGAAAATTAGAAATTAATGCGTTAAACTTTACTGAGCCATTATGACCCTTCGTCAGATAAATAGGAGAGGTTCTATCCTATTAGGTTTCTTAAAATGAAACAATACACCATAAAACTGAAACATTTTATTTAAATTATAACTTCTTTCATATAAATAATGCTCTCTTTATAACTGGAAGCCTCTACATAAACATAATATAGGTAATTACATAAAGCTATAGGACAAAATACAGAAGTTTATTTAATATAGAAACAGAAGTAATTTTAGATGCAGGTCGTAGTACCGTGGTGGCATTCAGTTATCACCTATAAACAAAATTACACTTTAATAAGCAGCCTTTATTACACTGGTGATGGTTACAAAATAATAAGAATTAGAAGAAAAGAACAACTTTTATTTTAAGCTCGTAGCTTTTACAATTTTCAGAAGGGCTCTAAATTCTCTTGACTTCAAATAATAATGAAATACTCTTAACCAGAGGTGGCCAACTTGATTAGACATAAGTACGATCTAATGTTTACTAACGAAACCCTGGGTTATTCTATCACTTACATACTTCTTGAAATCTTAAATGAAACAGAATAATTTAGTACACAATCATGTAGTATTTTTTACCTTGCCACGATCGACTGGACTAATATTCGCGATCGACCACCCCTGCTCTAAACAAAGCGATGAAAAATGCGAATCAGAGGCGGGGCAAGACCTAAATTTGATGTGGGCAAGACAGATTTCGCGAGGCCTTGTTCTGTGGCGACCTGAAGACGGATTTTATGAAATAAAAACCGGCCAAGTGCGAGTCGGGCTCGCGCACAAAGGGTTCCGTAGCAGCAAATATAATAAACTTATTATGTCAATTTAATCAACCTATCTCAAAAACTATAAGAGATACTTTGATCAAACCAAAAATCGTTGAAAGAGTTAATTAGCATGCATCACCTCTATTTTTTTTAGAATTTTATACCCCGTAGTTATAAAAATAGAGGGGGGGGGACATACTTTTTACGACTTTGAGAGCTGATATCTCAAAAACCGTTCACTTTAAGAAAAATGTTTTTTAGAAAACTTTATATCATTTTAAAAGACCTTTCCATTGATACCCCACACGGGTATGTACATCGAAAAAAAATTTTCATCCCTCAGTTACATGTATGGGGGGCCCCACCCCCAATTCTTTTTTTTACTATTTAGTGTCATAATTTTGTAGCGGTTCATACAACACATATTCCCATCAAATTTCATCACTGTAGTACTTATAGTTTCCGAGTAAATCGGCTGTGACAGACGGACAGACGGACAGACGGACAGACGGACAGACGGACAGACGGACAGACGGACAGACGGACATGACGAAACTATAAGGGTTCCGTTTTTGCCATTTTGGCTACGGAACCCTAATAAAAAAAAGGGTCAAAGGTCTATACATTGACAGTTTCTGATTTCTTGATTCAGTGATTATTTAAAGAATAATGTCCGTCACTTAAAACCGTGTTGTTGCTTAATTTTGTGTTTGATTATGGCTGAATTTGTTTGGAAAAAAATATATTTTTATTTTTAACTACATTGTTTAGCTATCAAGAATTTATATTTAATAGTCAATGTTCGTATTGTGATATTGTCATCTCCACCTTGTATACATTTTTTCAAAATTTTTGATGCGCGAGGCCCCTTGTACCGCGAGGCCGTAGGCGGTGGCCCACGTCGCCTACGCCTTACGCCGCCTCTGATGCGAATAACAGGCCTCCCCAACCCGTTTGGCTAGCCAGTGGGAGGTGTACTCACTTAGGCCAAATCCTTCGTTTGCCTCTGGAAAATTATAAAAGGTCATGCTTCTGCAATGAAGACTAAATGACCTGATGATAAATGAAATAAGCTATCTTAAATATTAATCATTTACTGTACATAAATTATACAGGTTGTTAGGTAAATGGGTATGAGCCGACACTAGCCCATGTTAACATGGTCATATAAATGGTATGGTGAAGTCAGAAAATTGATATCTTCATTTTAATTATTTTATTTTTCATACAAATCGGATTTTATAAAATTAATTTTGTATGAAAATTAAAAAAAAATGATGATATCAAACTGATTACACAATACCATTTATATGACCATGTTAACATGGGTTAGTGTCGGCTCATATACCCATTTACCTAACACCCTGTATAATTAAAATTGATCTTTTCTTCTGATATACTAAGTAATGTAAAATGTAATAAAAATAAACTATGCCTCAATAATTAACATGGGTTAACGGATTATGTAAACTTATGATTATCGGTATACACAACTTCTAATAAAATACAAAAAAACATGCAATAATAAACAAACGGTAAAATAATTAACACACGAATACATGCTTAAAAAGCCATTCATTGTATTGTTTACAAAAGTTTTACATTTAAAACATCCTTTGATCGTTGTTTTGGCACAGAAACTAAGAATTATGTATGTGCAACTTATTTTATAATAAAAAGGACATAAAAATAACATCACAGTTAGATAGCTAATGTTGATAAAAAACTTATGATTTTATGTTATTGGAAGTGGTTTCCAAAAGTGCTTAAACTATTGAATAAAAATAAAAGCATCATAATTTCAAATACCTAATTTAAACTAGCTAGGTAAAAACGAAAACTTGCTAAATAATGGTTGCTAGTAATAATTATAAAAACATAATCTTATTTCAGCCACAGGACGTCCAATGCTGAACATAGGCCAAAATTTTCAGTTTCTTACTAATAAATATATTTATGAAATATAGGTTTACATACTTACGTAACTAATACATAAATGTAAAAAAAAGTTCATTGTTTTAAAAAAAATTGATTCGTCGTCCCTATAAACTTTTATTTCGTTGTTTTTATCATAATAAAAAAAATAAAGATATTTACCTACAAGTATTTATTTATACGTAATAATGATAGCCATATTTCAATGAAAACAAGTTTTCAGTGAAATAATTAGTATTAGGAAAAAACATTTGAAAGTAGCAAAGAATGAGTACTAAGTACCTAACTTATTTTTTTTTTATTGTAAGTAATTTACAATGAAAGCTCTCTTTAAGTTGAAGTACCTGTCTTAATATTTGAATAATGCATTAAAATTTAATGCGATCAGGATTCGTATTTTTGGACGATTTAATCTCAAATCGCGTATTCAGTGCTCCTAAATTATTTTATCCAATTTCTGAATTCAAATTTTCAAAATGCCGTAAGTTTTCAATCAATTTCAAAATACAGGTCCTGAAGCTTTTCTTCAACATCTATCACAATCAAAATAATTGAAATAGGTAGGTATACTTAACTAATCGTAACTATAATTATTTTATTAATTATTGTTTTTAATTTGCCTTTGAAGACGAAATTGTCTGGTACTTTAAAGATATCGACGAATATTTTTTTGTATATAGAAACCGCTTTCGTATCATTCCTTAGAGATTTCAGCGATTGCAATAGATGTTGAATTTAGACAACAAAGGGCGTGTTAGATTAGATTATTAGCATAGCGATAATAGTGACAATTGCGAGCAGCAAGCCCAGTAGCGTCAGCCAGTCCAGCTCTGCCAAGTGTTGGGAGATCATCAAAGTGTACGAGCAAGCTAGCATCAACGTGCCAGTGTCGTGCCAATCGCGCTTCGACTGCGCGCTACTGCCTGCAGAAACAAAAACGAACACACAAAATTTAAACTACATCTAAAAAAACAAATTAAACGACAAAAAAAGCGGGATGCGAATGGTTAAAATGAACACCAAATACCGTGCATGAGAATGGGCCACGTACCTCTGTAGTCTTGTTGTGAATCGTGGTTTTGCCTTTTGGTCCTCCACGGCACTACGTTAGTTGGCAGTGAGTTGCTTTGACTAGGAGTGTCGTTGGTTTGGTCCACTGAGAGTCTTCTCAGTTGCTGATTCATTGTTTGGACGAGTTTCGGTGAGCTCAAATCGCTTCGAACAGCCTTTTCTGGCTCTTTCTCATCCTCGTTATCTACACGTCTCTGACTTACACCGTCCAATTTAAATATAGTCGCCAACTCTTCTGAAGAGTTGTACTCATTCGAATCAGCGTTTTCTCTCTTAATTTCTAAATCGTTTTCGTAAATCGATAAATTAACAGAAGCCCGATTCGGTACTTCTTGTCTACGAATATTTTCAGATACTTGGTTTAGTTTTTCACTCGCTTCCGAGATACCAGTCATTTTATTTTCAGTGGTAACAGTTTCTACTTTCGGAGTTTTAGGAACAAAAAATTTCTCATTTACTTGCGTTATGCCTGCTATTAAATCAGAAATACCATCTTTCAATTCCTTAAATGCATTAATTTCATTAATTTCTTTCAACTTGTCATCTGTATTTAGGAACGGGTTCAATGAATTGTATTCAGGTTTAATTAATTGAGGTTCAGGTATCTTTTCAACTTCACTGGCATTTTCAACTTTGACGGAATCATTTTTCACGTTTAAAGGAACTATATCTGGTACTAACTTATTTTCAGGGATTGCAACCGTAGTTTGTTCAGCCTTTAATTGGTTTTCTGTTTTTGTTACATAATTAGAAAGGTTTAAGCTTTCATCTTCAACATTAAGATCTTTTTCAAAGCTATGTTTTAATTGGTCTTCCACCTTATGCAGCTGATTTGAAATAGCTAACAGACTGTCTTCAGTCTTTTTAGCCGTGGATTCTCCATCCGTGTTTCTTTCACTTACATCTGGCCTGTGGTCATTGAATATCTCCGAATGAACATTTACTACTTTAACTTCAGGCATAGGATCATTGTCAGATCTGCCAGTCAGACCATTTAGGAATGAAAGTCTACTGTCAGAAATTCGACTTTGAACGTCTGATTTCTTTTCAGCGTTATTTCTATTTTTATCTAATTCAGCTAACGCCACTCCTAATTTGTTGCTAGTATCCATAGCTTCTTGAGCGAGCATACTGAGAACATGCTGGAATTCATCTTTAGATGACCGTTTTGATGCTTGTGGTGACCTATTTGATGGTGATGAGCTTTTGGACTTATCACAAGATGGAGGCTTAGCGAGATAATTATCGTCATTGTGAATGAATGAATCGTCTTTTGCGAAATGAGGTGCAGAAGTATGGGAGTTATTGACAAAGAGACTAACAGTATTGTGTCTTTGTTTTACCTTGTTGCGGGGATAATGATCTGGATCCTTGTCGTTATTTTCGAAGGTTTCACGAAGGCGTCTCATTACATCGCTATTACTGTGAGTTTTCTGCAGTGTAGCCACTTTACTCATGTTGAGGGCATCATCTATTTCTTTCTGTATCATTGTGAATATGTTCGCCGATAACGATCTCACAGCCCTCTTTTTCTTGAGGCTGGCTGCTGATTCTTTTGTAAAAGGATTTTCACCATAACTATGATTATTATTAACATGTCCATTCAAATATTCTTCGCCATTGAACAGGGATGAATGTCTATTATCTTTTCTTAAGCTTCTATAAGCGAGGTCGTCTGATACGATGTCAGGTGACCTTCTAGGGACAAATCGAGATCGTCCTTTGTTTTCAGGTGTAGCGTGCAGGTAGTCACTCTGTGGCGCTGGTGAGACTGGCCCCACGGGTATTCCAAATGGTGGTTGAGGGTCTACAGTTTTTAGCCTGTTGTTCGTTTGTTTGATATTTCTGTACACTACATCGTCATGAACTATGTCAGGTTCATTCCTTTCAGAATGTTTTTCATCGTCAGAACCGTACGGCACATAAACAGGTGATGCCAACATGTAACTAATTTGTGATTGTGTGTCTTTATAATTTGGTTTTTCTTTCGTTAATGAATTCATTCTACGGAATGCCATGTCATCTTGTAATTTATCTGGCAATGTTGATCTTCTTTGCACACGTCTTAAAGGCGTTGTCGGTTGACTTCTCAGTTGGATTTCATCGTCATTACCATTCCAATCATTGAAATGGTCGTTAAACTTGGGCGTCATTAGCTCGCGGCGTTCAGCTCTGTCAAGTAAATCTTCATCTCCCAAACCCAAGCTATTATAAATGGCTTCCAATTCATTAAGAGCGTCATCAAGATTTGTAGACTTTCTACGTTCTGAACTTTTTTCATCGTCTGATGGAACCTGGTACGAATTCTGAACGAATGTATCGGATTTATGTCTAACATGAGTCTTAGAAGTAGGAGATGTTACTGTTTTGGGTGGTTCTACAGTAATTGACCTTTTGTATTCAGTTGTCGCTTTCCATACTTTAGCACCATCTGTGGTATCTAACGACTGAGATTTAAAGTCAATTTTATTTTTATTCTGAATATCAGTGTTGTCATTTCGAACACCATTGCTTCTATGTTGTTCTAAGTATTGCAGTCTTTGTGGTGGAGTATTGCTAGAATACTCACTGTTACTTCTAGAGTTTGAAAACACACTGTGCTGTCGCCTTTGTCTTTCGGCATCATCAATTTTTCTCCAAAACTCAGATGCATTTCTTGGCCTACGGTAAACACTTTCGGCTACATTAAGAGATGCTTGCGAATCACTCAGATATTGAGTTTCGTAATTATTTTGACTATTTTTGATGCTGATAGGCCTTCTTGATCGAGGGCTTTGGTCTGCATAGTACAAGTAATCTTGCCGCATCTGTACAGGTTCTGGCTTGACAAGATTTGGGTGCTCCACTTTCTTCCTCCAAGGAGGAGTATTGGCGTAGATGCCATAGTGGTTTGGTTCTGCAGACACCGACGCCGGTCTCCTTGGCTGTTCGCTCTTATACTGGAAGTTTTGGAGATATTCGTTGTTTTGCATAGCAATATGATCTTCGGAGTTCGATATCGGCCGTCTCAAGCCGTTAAAGCTTTGACTCATCGATCTTTCTTGGCTTCGTCTCATTATTCTCTCAAAGTCGTTGTTAGGTACACCGTGAACTATGTTCTGGTTGCTGCCCATCCTATCTGCTACTATGGGGTTATTTTCATAGTACATCGATATAGGGGTAGCAACCTTCCTTTGCATATCCCGGGGAGGTGGCACTGGTGGTGCTCTCTCGTCTCGTTTGATGTTGGTTACGTTTCCCAAGGGGAATTTGACGCACATTACATTTTCAGGTCTCTCATACTGATTACTGACACTCCTTTCCCGGTTATTAGCGTAAAGCGGTTCCTTAGTTATGTTACTTGGGCATTGAATGGAATAGTTAATATGCTCGTTGTTAACTTTAGCATTAAAATTAATGGATGAGGGGTAACTTTGAGTCGATGGGAATGATGAAATAGATTCGGATTTCATAGGTCGGCGGTTGACGTCATTGGCGTAAAGGTGGTCTTGTTTGATCTTGTTAGTTTGGTCGCGTTTGCACGTTCCATAACCGCTGCTTTGACTGGTGGGCGTTCTTGTCAACATTTCAACCTCGGCCTTAGTGTAACCTTGCTGTATTAACTCGGCTTCCTTATTAAGCTGGTTTTCGTCATCTCTTGATAGCCTCTTGATGTATCTTTCATTCCTGGCGCTCCTTGTCCGTTTATTTAAGGAGCTATCCCGAGATCGCATTAGGGAGTCATCGCTTCTGAATCTAACCATAGATGAGGAGTTCGACGACTTCAAAGATTCCTCATCGCTGCTTGATTCTCCTCGCATACTGTTTCGAAGGGCTTCAACTCGAGCTTTCAAGCGACCTTTTCTAGTCTTTCTAGATGGAGTGTCGAGTGCAGATTTCATTGACCGATTGGAATTATCGTCTCGTAAGCTGAGTGACTCTTTCGATGCACCGTACATATTCTGTTGCTTGGCTCGGTAGTTTATGAAGCCCGCCGAGGGGTCTGACAAGACGCCATCATCAGTCATGTCCCGCATATTTGGTTTAGCCAAGCTCTGAGCTCGCCTCGTGTCCCTAATGACAATGTGGTCGAAGTTATTGACGGCCGGGGTCTTCTTCTTTTTCTTGGATTTTCTTTTCGACGGAGATTTGGTGCTGACCCCTTCGTCGCTTTCTGAAGATGATTCGCTCTCTTCATCTTTCTTCTTTCTTCGGAAGAGTTTTCCTAGAGACCATTTCTTCTCCTTCTTGCGCTCAGGATCGGCTTCTGTTTGAACTGGCCTCTCAACACGACGTTGAACGGCGGCATATTCTTCGTTCTGAGGACGGTATGGTGCGGATATCCCCGACGCCTCTCGGTGGGGCACTGGTGGTGAGTTGACTGCCTGAAAATTAGAGAAAAAACATTTTAGAAACCTTCTGTAACATAATTAATTACAAACATGAATTCGTATATCGAAATTCCAATAAAGGTGGCTTTATCAAATTTTACATCGACTTAGGGCGAATTACTGATCAAAGGCATGTTAAATTCGACGTAAAATTCTCAATCGTTAAGTGAAAAGATTCACAATTTATATTTACGATACATAAAATTAAATTTTGAAGAGGCCTTTGTTTACTTTACATGTTTCCTTTGCCAGATTACATTTTAAATGTCTTAATAACAGCTTTAATATTACGTAAAAGCTTATGAGTATTTTCGTGAGTCACAAAATTATGTGATCATGACAATAGGGGATAACTAAAATAGTGAACGCCTATCTGTCTACAGAGACGTTCCCAAGGTCGTGTGTTTGGCTTTGTGTCAAAATTTAAAAATGTATGAGTTGTGTGGCATCGTGTTTATTTGGACAAGGCGGAAATAATTAGCCCGTTCGTCTTGATGCGTGTACGCACGGTTTATCTTCAGATAAACGGGGTTACAGTTCAAAGACGTTTTGAATTCGCTACTATCTTTAGTGTGGAATGCAGCAGTCATTTTGGATTAATGATTGTGGTCAAAATGCTAAGAACAATTCACTTTTTCCGGTGACAGTTAGATTTTAAAGGTCTGCCTATACCTAAATTACCTACTTAGCTAATGATTTGTTTTTCTAACAAAATAATAACCATCGCTTCCTGATCCACTGGTGATCAGGGAGGACATTCTTTGCCCAGAGGATTTAAGGTGTATTTTTGTTTGTACCAAGTTAGGTTAAGTTAAAAATTCTGTGCTGCGGGGCACGTAGAGTCTGTTCGATTAAACTATGTCAGACGTCTATGGCGGCTCATAATATTGAACACCATCGTTGCCTTACCTAGCATGTAACCTATCCAACATAAGAAGAAAATTAATATTTTTAGGGTAGATAAACGCATTTGAATAATTTATGACTTTGTCAGTTTTGTGTGGTAATATAGCATTGAACTTACATAAAATTACCAAATCCTTGAATAATTACGTGAACATTAAAATTTTCATATATCATTGCAATGAATTACAGTACTAATATTGTATCTCTATGTAGAGTCAGAATCAGATGTTTTAAACGTTGAAGAAACGCACTTATTTCAAATTAAATTCGCCGTAGTTTTTCGCTTGATGGTACCTACGGACTGCAAATACAGATGGTCTTATTTCACGAGTTCAATGAAACATAAATTAAATACATAACAATGATAAGTATTAATATTTCATAGCTGTCTGCAGATAACATAAGAATTCGTATTCTTTTCATTTGGTTTAAAATTTCAAGTTTGCGAATACGGAGAATGAAACATTGATAATTATTTGGAATCTACAACATACTGCAATATTGCATACCTAAATTATGGGTTCAAATAAGATATTAATTATTTATGTACTACGTACTAAACTTGGTCGTTACATAGGTACATTGAGTGAGTAATCCATGAAACTTATGTTTGTAAAAATAACGAAATATTCATTAAAAAGTACAACAATAAGAACTAGGTATAGGTATGAAGCATCATGAAATATTTTTTGAGTAAAGTGATGAAGATTGTCATTACACATTAATTATAGGTTTAAATCTACTCAACAACATAACTTTGCGTGTCAGGGATAATCTGTTAAGGAATGTAGGGAATGTCTTACCTGCCCTACAGAAAGGGTCTCAGGAAGATTAGTTCTAAAGAATGTCTTTATAAATTAGGTAAGTAGGTATCTCTCTTGATTCGTAGTCTTAGGTTCAATTATTCCAGGAGGGAAATACATTATTGGGAGATATTAATGCAAGATTTCAATTTGGTTGTTATATATATTTCCAGTCTGGACTCAACTTGATTGACCAAAAAGTTTGATTACGTATTCTTCTAATAAGTTCAGATATTTCAACTATCAAAATTAAGTCTCCAATTAGAGCTTTTCGGAATTCAATGAATTTAATATAAACTACAAAAGTCTCGAATGGATATTTAGTTTTGAAGGTAAAACTTACAGGTAGAAAAGATCTGAAGTAATCATTGTTTGTCCTTTCGATCTCCACCATAGCCACCATTCCACAGATTATTTAAAGAACGTTAACAACTCTCACACCCACTCACTGATCTTGGCACAGCACACACAAATATTCCACACACAATTATGAACTGTTTATTTTTGCGATACTATAAACTACATTATGATTTATTAACAAAACACTTCATTTAGACGAGAAAGAACTTTTTAAATAAAATTATTCGCGCAGTTGATTCTGATTAGACCAACGGCACTATTAGGTATGACATTAGCAAATAATTTTACACAAAATCTTTAAAATTTTGGCACACTAGATTTTACGCTAAAATTAAGTATCACAGTAGTAAATTAAATTAAAATTAACACATTGAGCGCTTGTTTGTTGTGGCAGTTACGTAAATACAGTTTAAAACGCGCGGCGCGAACTGTCTTGCGCGTGCGACTAAGAGATCTCAAGATGCGCGCGCCCGAATCGTCCCGATATATCCGCGCGTTATCCTATATTTCTTCGCTATAATAACAAAACACGTTCTACAAATGTAGCTATTTTTACACGCATTTTTTAAGTTCTGAAGCGCGTTAAGGACTGAAAAGAAAGGATTAAAAGATCAGTTCGGCAGTTCAGCTTGACGGGGACAGAGTGAATGAGGAAGTTTTAAAGCTGTACGTAATCTTTTGTAAATTACTGAAATGTTCAGATGTAAATAAATAACATTATTAGTTGAAATTAGGCTTTGGCCACACTATACGCTTTATAATAGAGCTTTGCGACGTCGTCACTTGCCCATTTTTGGTATAATAAAAGTATGTACCTATATCAATATGATGTATAACAGTATGATGTGACCTAAACCAAATGAAGCAAGATTTACAGTCGCTTGTAAAATCAAAAAACATACATACAGCCGAACATATGACCTCCTCCTTTTTTGAAGTCGGTTAATGAGAAATAAGTTAGCTTAGAGTTACAGTAAAATCCAGTGTACTAAATTTTACGAAAAAGTTAGAGATAAAATCATCAACATAGTTATTTGCCATAGTAAAATCCACAGCAGAACGTAGGATTCAATTTCAATGAGGTAATTTAATGCGAATAAAAATGAAGTACCTAGTTACCTACATTTTCCGTTAGTACAAATCTTACAGTACGGAACCCTAAAAGTCAAAACAATCTCATTTGTAAGTCAAAAGGCAATATCTAAGAGGGGTTAAATCTTAGTCAAGGCATAATTCAAAGCGACCACAGACAAGGTAGAGTCGGGCGCTGATATAAGCCCGCCTTAGGGCTGATATACGACAGTACTGCTTTATTTAGTTGCTTATTATTAACTTAAAAAGTTCAGTATTAGGTAGGTATTTATTATACCCTTTATTAATCAATCAAAAATTTGTATAAAGAAATGGGCGATTATGCAACAACTTTTTCTACCATAATAATCAAAATATTTTTATTTATTTGAAAAAAAAAAATCAGCTGCCATATAAGACTAAAACTGAAATAAGGAGATTATTGGTAAAAAAAACAAATCATACATATAGGGAACAAAGGATAATTACCCAAATCAGAGATATTAAAATAAATGACAACACGCTTCTTTAGGGAGAGACGCAGTGCTACAGAATTCTATTCCTTAAAGTGGCAAAAGAGAGATGAGAATAATAAAACATTAACTCCTCTTTCGCATCAGCACTGCTGAACGGATTTTGATAAGCATTGCTTCAGTATAAACATTTTGAAAGCGTAAAGAATTCACTCAAAGTTTATTTCTACGCTGTCGAAGTCACGGGCACAGCTATTTAGAAAATATAAATAAGTAGCTGTTTATACGAACGTACTAAAATAAAAATAGGTCGATTTACCTGTGTTTATAATTCACACGCTCTGTCTGGGTTATATTGGCCTTGCACGCCAAATAACGGGCCGAAAGTATATAAACATTTAGATAAACGTGTCAATAAGGCTTTTCAGGTAACATTTAAATCACTCGTAGATACAAGATTTACAGGATGACTGAAAAATTCATAGTAATGATGATAATTATGATCATTAACTGTCATAATATTACATAAAAACGGGATTTTTTCAGAATTTTCAGACCATTTTGACTAACTCTAGCAAATTAAACTAAGAATAATTTGAACTAAACTTGACAATTTTTAATCAATTGAAAATTATTTTCTTTAAATTCCTCTGAAAATAAATATTGTTAGAGTAAATGTGGCATGTTTCTATACAACTTGACAGGTATGCGTATGTCAAAGTGTAGTAAAATAAATAATAAATAAATAAATATATAGAACAGAACCATAACGTCAGTAACAATGTTCTAAATCATTCTGTAGATATGCAGCTTAAAAGCTTTTACGCAATAAAACGTTACTGACAATACACTAAATGAAACAACTAGGTATTGCCATTGTTCATAGCATACACTAAAATTAAATGGCATTTCGTAAACAATAAAATATTTACCGTAAACATTTCATATCAGGGGTGTATTTGCGCACCATCCATTTTATTTATTATAACTTAATACAAATACTCTTTTCAATTTAGCCTCAAGCGAGAGGGCCCTATTTATGAATACGGAATGAGTCCCAAATTGTAGGCATACGGATGTAAATTGAAATTTACTCGACAAACGTTTTATTTATGTTTACTGTATTGTTCAGTATTGCATTGTGGGGATGTTTATTTATTTATTTTTGATACTTGAAGACCAAATCTATTTATTTTGTTAAATAACTGATGAATCTGGTGAAGGCGTTTTCAGATTTTTGGACGAAGATGTTATTTTGTATGATTTCTATGAGTTAAAATGATTGATTTGATTTTTTGAATGCGGAACAAGGCAAGTATTAATATTATGTGAGATGCAGTCTAGGATGGTACATGCCTGCCCTATAAGTGCCTATTTATCCTAGCCTTGAAAAGGCCCGGATTATAGTGTTTGACACAATTCAATTAATCAATTGCAGTTGTTTGATTGGTGCAGGCAGGTATATGACCGCAATCGCACCTGGTGTTAAGTGAGATGCAGTCTAGGATAGTGGGTGTACTTGTTCAGTTTCGCCTTAAAAAAGCCTGGTTTATAGTGTTTGGGATAGACAGCCGCAGGCAGCGAATTGCAGTCCCTAGCTGTTCGCATTATAAAGTATCAAATAAGCAGTTCTTACTCAGATTTAACTGATTCGGAAACGCGCAGCTGGTGAGCCCATATCTAAGAAGGGATGTCTTAGCTTCCAGACAGGATACGGTGGGCCATATCCTTGCGATAATTTTCCGATTTATTAAAACAGTCTCGATAGTCGAAATGGACACTCGATTCTTGGCAGTGAATCGAGACTCACGACAGTCGACAACTCATAATAGCCTGATCGGGACGCCGCCACCTAGCCCAAACCAAACAAAAGTCTGGGGGGCGCCAGATATAACCGTGAGTCAAGTGTACGGCGGAATCTATACTTCTATACTAATAGTATAAATGCGAAAGTAGGTAACTCTGTCTGTCTGTCTTGCTTTCACGCCTAAACCACAGAACCGATTTTGATGAAATTTGGCATAGAGAATATAGAGATAGTTTGAGTCCCGGGAAAGGACATAGGATAGTTTTTATCCCGGGTTTTGAAACTGGTAAAGGTATTCTGTGACAGACTAAATTCCACGCGGGCGAAGCCGCGGGCGGAAAGCTAGTCTGAAATAAACAGTTATAAGGGTGGGACTGATTGAAGTCGCGAAATTGAACTGGTCTACAAAGTTACGAAAGTGCCCGATTTTAAATTGTATGAAGAATCGGCCAAATCGAATCGGCGTAGTGTGCGCACTCCCATACATGCCCATATTGATTAACTGCCCGACTAAACTATCGGCCGACGAAAAATCAACGGTGTGCGCCTACTCTTATCCACCTACATTATTTCCTCCGCGCCTAGCACAGGTGTTTCACTACCGATTTATTTATGGGAGGGTATGGGTTATCTCAGTTCAATATAGGTAGGTTAATTTCATAAGCGATACTGTAGTCGGAAGATACATTACCGTATTGTAGGCGATTATATTTATCGCTTGATCGTAACGAACTCATCGGATGTTAAAGATTACAGTTTTAAAAGAAGTATTTCTATTCGATCATTATTAACGTAAAGATTTTCTTTATTTTTGAACCATACGGAGCAAATTAATATTTCTTTTAATGTCACTCGTTCTCTGGATGGACCGATTCGAAAGCCGTCATTTCCGAAGCCGTAAAACTTATAAAAAAAAAGAAAGCCATCACATTCTTCTTAAAAATAGGATTCAAGAAGTTTGTAACACGTTTTTCAATTGTTATTTATAGAATCCTCAATTTGAATTCGAATTATGTACTTGAATGTTTTTTTTCAAAATCATTTGATATTCTTCTTGCCAGTGTTGTCAAAACCTAACTTATTTTGTATTGGTGCGTAAATAAAATTCTTTCTTTGCGTGGGTTAGATAAATAAAAACTCAATGAATCGAGAGCAGGGTTGGTTTTAACAGTTAGACACAATGCTTTTCTGTTGATGAGTGAATGGGTAAGATGAATGAGGATGAGGAATGCGCGTGGGCAGGCCGGACGGAAATCTTATTTTGATGGAACAATCCCATTGTTATCTTCCGAAGTTGTAACTTATTCTTAGGATGTTTTTAATTTGATATTTTCTATGCATAGTGTCATCATCCCAAACTTTCATCTAAACCATTCGTGCCATGTTATAGTGCGCTGATATAGAGTAAATTATAGGTAATTTATTTACTGTAGTTTTTTTCTTACCGCATGTTTAATGATCTAGACTTTACAAATAGAACATTGTTCTACTTTTAAAAAATGGTCAACCACCCGAACTACCCAACTTTTAAATGAGTCACCAGCAAAAACTTCCATCCATTAATCCTCCAACAGTCTAAACTGCAACCGTCATTCATCCAGCTCTATATCTCCGCTAACACATTCCGACGGCAGCGCTGGAAGCGATTCACACCGTTCTAAATTCGATCACATCGCGTTTCTCGATGTATAAATTACCGAGACAAGGTATAAATCGAGGCTCTAGTGCTGGGAATTCGAACGAACACGAAAAATAAATGCTTGCGATTCGAAATTTGAATAAAAACAAAACAGCAGCGTGTCTGCGATTGTCAAAGGAATTCAGTATACAGCCAATAAGAATACGTAGATTGATTTTATAGGTGAGCTTTTCTAAATTGGTTCTGGATACCTACTTCTTTCGTGGCAGACATAGCTCGGGGAATGCCCTAGTTTATTTTATCACTTTGTTTGTTCAGTCATACAGTTCATGCATTTCATGTGAAGGAGTAGAAAAATAAAGACTCAAATGAAATCAAAAAAAATCTTACAGTACATAGGTCCTATCCAGGGCACATGTACATTGTACATGCCCCAAACATAATTAT